AAAAATACCCTCATATAATTATTTCTTAATAATATTATCTAGTATATAACTTATAAATTATGTCTTTAAGTATTAATTAAATAAATTAACATTGTATATCTGGTTGTATATATTTCTATGTTAATTTATTGCATTTCTGCTCTCACTACAATATATATATATATATTATATATATATATATATATATATATATATATATATTATATATAATATATATATATATATATAGAAATATAGGAATAGGTTTTATACTTAACAAATATGACAGAGTGTGATACATTTTATATCAACACTATTGATTTTTACAATTTTTATTTTTAACTCCATGGTAGCCGAATGTTAGTCGAAAGCAAAAAAAAATATTTTAAAAAGAGAAAAGTATATCTTGCATGAATGTAAGAAAAATATACTAAACATATAGTTAATGTTAATTTATGATAAAAAATAAAAAAGAAAACTTGGTAGAAGTTCTACGACCGAGTGGTATGATAGTATTATTGATATTTCTAGTTGGTACAAGAGTGCCGCCGGGCGTAATGTAGTTACGCTCTTTTAAAAAGAAATAAAAGAAAAGTTTTCTATGATCACTTAAAGATAATTTGACAATGAAAAAAGTACAGAATAATCCAACAGAAGGTAAAAAGTGATGCTGGAGACAAAATCTGTGAACTAGAGGCAGCACTCGATGTCTAGATTATAAAAACATTACTTTAAAAGAGAGACATCCAACTTAGAATAATTAAGATAATAGTATTTTTTCTATTTTAAGGTTTCTAGATGTGGTATGGTATACATGGAGCCAGTAACATTGGGTTGGGAACCTTTTCTTCAATCTTGGATCCCTACTTGTAATCATTTATGGTGCCCACCTAGCAGAAAAGATTTTATTGATAATATGTTTAGATGGATTGTGCCTCCTTCACTGAATTTTATAAAGAAACACTGTACTATGTTCTGCAATCCAGGCGATATCAGTCTAGTTTTGAATATGATGAACATGTTTGAAATGTATATGAATGATGCAATTGATAGTAATCCTAAGAAAGAGGATCAAGAAAAATATATGGAATTTTGGACACAGGCTGCTTTTATTCAAGCAGGTATATTAATGTGGTTCTGAAACTGTTTTTGTGGCATGTTTAAGTTAAATATTATTTTATATGGGATTAACCAGAATAATTGATAGTAATGAGAATTTCATTTTAGATTTGTTTTGACGCTTCGGTCACCTATGCAGAAATCGTTTACAAGAAAATTTAGTTAAAAATTAATAATATTATTACCCTGAAAATGTTTATAACTTGGCAGTGAATAAAGTACTTAATCAGTTTAACTTACTTGGCCCCGATTGCAGTCTTTAGCCATGTCTTAAGTGAAATCCTGAGCGATGTTGTTGTATTCTCGAATTGATATTAAATTTAAATCTTTCTGTGATTATGTAGTTAATTATATACGATATGTCTCTGACCTAATATTAAGTTGTTCTTCTTGCATTCAGGGTCTCCTGTGGAGCTGATTAATATGGCTACTTGCACTTTCCAAATAGGTAGCTGCAAGAATAATTCGACCGATACCAGGCACGAACCTTATGCAGACAAGAAATTCTTCTACGGTTCTTCGTCCAACTATACAAGGATCTTTCCATAAATTATAAGTTGTAGAAAATCATATCTTATTTTTCTAAAGACTTGGCCAAGAAACTCAAGTTTTCTCTTCTTTATAGTACCTAAATATAATTTAAGATTAAATATTTAACCTTTGCAGCACCGCCTGATTTATGACTACGTCCAGGAGATTCTTAGATTCTCCTGTCGACATACTTTCCAAAGGGCTCTATCTTTTTAAGGAGTTCCTTAGTTAGTGTCCAGCTTTCCACACCGTATGGGAGTATGGAAAACACATAATATCTAACCATTCTAATTTCTGAGAGTCATTGAAAAATGGGGTGCTGTCAAAAATTTTTTTATATTGACAAACGCATCTGTTCAATGTGTAAACAATTTTTTTCTGAATGTTGGTTAGTGTCGTTGACAATAGTTCAATATATTCGTACTGAAAAATGCGCATCTATCCATTAAAATTGTCCACAATAATTTTTAGTTATTTGTTTTGAAGAGACCATCATTTTCATTTTCCTGATATTGATATGTAAAACATGCGTCATATTAATCATAGATACTTTATTAAAGAGTCTCTGGAGGTCTTCCAAATTGTTGGCTATTATAGCTGTATAGTAAGTAGATAATCTAAACGTCGAAACAAATATAAAATATAATTTTCATTACATTTAATTGTGGTTTAATCTGATATAAAATAATATTTAGATACACTAAATGTCTATAAGCTTTGTAAATTATATCTAATTTATAGTTGCGAAGTTATTTTTTTGTGGAGTTTACGTTTTAATTAATATATGTTTTTGGAAATAATTATGTACATATAACTATTTTGTCTAAAATTTTAACTGATACCTATTAGCAATTGTTTTCAAAATACAAAAGGTTTGGGATATATTATTAAAAAATTCAAAAATTTGTTTCATACAAAGTAACGAGAACTAATTTACATCATTTACATCTATGATAACCTAATATAGATTGTGTGTCAGTCAAGAACATGATTTCCAGAAAAAGCGAAACTCCCCATATTTGTGTTAACACTGGAAAAAGGGGACGTGGAGAAGGCTAGGCGCATCACCAACTTGATGCACATAAAAATAACAATCGAGGACCTCAGAAAGACAACCGGGCCTACACAGTATTTATAGGCACTTATAGGAACGACAATATATAAAGATCAAGAGGCATAGCAATGCTAGTAAAGAAAAGAATCAGACACATCATAATCCTAACTCCACAGCTTAATAACATGGAAACTTCGTCAATCAGAGTACAAATTAGGCAAGAAAAATTCAGAATTATTGCCGCTTACGTAAAAGGATCCCTCAGGATTCATTAATCGATGATAACTTAAACGCGTTCCTAAACATAGACGAGCAAAAAATCATAATAGGAGACCTATTAACCACTATAGAGAAAACAACGACGACACTATGGCAATTGACCCCATAGATCCAACATACTAGCCAGGAAACGGACTTCTCATCCACATCAATATTGAAGTTGCTAGAAACCTAACACTAATAACAAAAATCCAGACATTAAATAATGGAATTGGGGACCACGTCACATATTACTGGAATTAGTGGGAGGAAGAATGCACCACCAAATGGATTAAAAGGAAAACAAAATGGATTTACTTCAAGAAACTTGTCAGCACTTAAATAAACAACGTTCTAGTGATACACAACCCACAAGATATAGAGGATAAAGTCCTAAAGTTTAAGAATATCATACAACAAGCACTCATAGGAACAGTTCTACAGAAGAGGAAACAGAAATACATATAGGAAGGTAAACTAACTAGACAACCAAAAGGACAATGAACCAGGTGGACAAAAACAGGATAATGCAACTAATAATAGTTGGAAGCTCCAAAGAATTCTCAGAGGGGATAGAAAACCAATCCACACAATATACGGAGGAAATTGAATTGTCTACTCCATTGAAGAAAAGTCAAGGTTATGAGGACGACTCTCGGAGAGATTGTATATTAAATTACCACTCTTTAGAAGACTTTAGAAGAAGTTAAAGAACGAAGGGAAAGGCCCGAGGATCCGAACGAAATTATCCATTTCACATTACCGGAGAAAATACAGGAACTAGTTAATAACAGTTTGCCGAAAAAAAAGCACCTGGAATAGATCAAATAACAATCAGGGCCCTTAAATACTTACAGACGAGAGGCATAGCATTTCTAATGAACAGAATTTAACGCGATGCTGAGATACACGCAATTTCAATATTGGTGGAATGAGACACAATGTCATCATGATTCCAAAGCCAGAAAAATATAGTAAACTTACTATATTGTTATTATCTACTATTTTCCAAAATTACAGTTAAATTAGCTTACTTCTAGCAATTGGCAAGGTTGTGGAGAGAGTCATTATCAGCAGAGACGCAGTTTGTATTTAGATCAGAGCACGCCAGCGAGCTACAAGTACTGTGATTAACAGTATACATAGCTCATATGTTTGCATAAAGGGCTACTTTACAAAATGAGAGGCTATGGATACAGTGGGGCAATGACAAGACTTATCTCTTCGTACTTAAGCAACCTTGGCTTCAGAGTCCTAATAGGACGAATCCTATTCAAGCTTGGAACCCCGGATGCTGGAGTGCCACGGGGAGCGGAACTGTCACCACCACTATTCAATATACACCGCCAACGTTCTAAGAACAACAGGAACTCTACTAAGCTGTTTGCCGATACACTGCAATAGCGGATAAATACCGAAATGTAGACATAGATGGAATCGTAGACTTAAGTATAATTTGGTACATCGTCTAAAACTCCAAAAAAACGCATGCGGTACTCTTCAAAAAAGTCATCAACAGCCAGAGAAACAACTAACAGTGCAAACTAAACCCATCGAGTGGAAAAGCGAAGCAAAATACCAAGGAGTCACTATGGATAAAAGATTAACTTTCAAAAAGCACGTAGCGGTACAATACAAAAGGTCAACATCGTAAATAATAGGACTCGCAGGTAGAAAAAGTATATTGAGGACTAAAACAAAAATAGGTCTAACAAATAGTATAATTCTACCGATACTAACATGTACCTAAATATGTATTTAAATCAATATTTTTTTTAGGAGTTTGGGGCATAGCTTCAATCCTAGATAAAGACTCAAGAGAAAAATTCGATGAATTTTATAAAACTTTATGGAAAGGTGAAAACGAACAACACCCTTATCCTCAATGTCTAGAAAAGGTAGACTTATCTATTCCATCTGAAGGTCTTCTTTTTGACTATGGATATAATTATAGATTAAAAGGGGGTTGGAAATATTGGCCAGATGTTGTAAAATATGAAAGAGTGGATGAATGTAAAAATATTATGCAAGCTTTGATACCAACTGTCGATACAGCCAGGTAACTTGGTTATAATTGTTAAAGATTTATATAAATCACTAAAAGATTTTAGTCAAGAATATAAATTGTTAAATGCAATTTTCACCAAAAACAATTAAAAATTTACTTACAGGCTTAGGGTAAACTATATACTGGTTATAAACTATAATTGGTTACCGTCAGCTATTGGCACATTGTAGGTTTTCTACATTATTTTAAGAATATGAAATATACTGACCACTGTTATTATTTTACGACAGTTGCAACCCTGTACAAATAGTATCTAACTTTTATTGTACTACGTAATCTTAAAAACTTAGCGCAGATCTATCAGATGGTGTATCAAGATTTTTAAGCAATAATACCTACATAAGAAAAGTATTATAATAAAGGATATTGTGTAAAATATGATTTTTAATACAAAATTAGTTATTCTATTATGTTTATGTGCTTTGTTTTCATTAAATTATCTACGCCAATTACTAGCCGTGGTTTTTTTATTAGACAGGTATTAGCCACCTTGCCATTACCCGTAAAAATACATTTTATTGATAATATTCTATATTTATACACATGGGTATATAGAACTTTTTTGTAGATGCCCAAAGTAAAAGAGCGTGCACTATAAAAAAAATATACTGAAAAAGATATTTCGCTTGAGTTGAAGGCCATCGAAAATGGGATATTACAAAGAAAAACTTTCCAGACATTTAAGGTACAACTTGAAAGTATTTATTTTAGAAAAAGCGATAAGTTTACTAATAAGACCACTTTGGGTCCAAGCAGTATTTTGACCAGTAAAGAAAAAGCTATTAGAAGAATGGATATTGACAAGTTACAAAAAAGGATTTTCAGTAAGGACAGTAAATATTCAAGCTCCTGTTAAGAAATTTTTAAATTTAAACCTATAGAAAAATCCATTCCGGGTCAATTTTCCAAAGTATTTCCAGAACACCAGAAGCAGTAACTTCTATATAATCTTTTATAAAAAAGTTAAAAATTAATAGCTAAAAATTAATATCATCGTGATATTTATTCGTTCTGCATCTGGTTAAGTAACTCAGCCGATGCTTATTTATCACTACTTCAGAATTTACTATTCTATAGTTAATTTAAGACCTTCTTTATGGGGAATTAAACATAATGATAATGGTTGGATGAAGGTTAAGTTATTTTACGAGTACATTGGTAATGTTTTAACCATGTTTAAAAGAATTAGTACTACCTTTCCAATAATTCTATTTTTATATGGCCATTCTATACATCAAACACTAAAGTTGAGTCAATTGTGCACCGAACTACAGATAATTTCAATATCGTTTTATTCCAATGCAATACGCTTGCAGTACTGGAAGATGTCATAGAAGACTACGCTAAAGCTAAAACTATAAAAAATGGGTCTTAAGCAATTGGATTATATCGATGGAACGCATGAGGTCCATAATGTCTAGGAACAAAAGAGAGACTAATATGTATCCAAATAATATACAAATACAGAAAAATTTTTTTCTGAATATTTCGTTTATCTGTTTCAATCGATAGTAAGATAAGATAGTAAGATAGTAAGATAAGAAAATAGTTGGCGAAGTTAGAAAAGCAATTTAAAGAAAATGATCAGTTTGACGAAGCAAGTTTATCTTGTATAAATTATATAAAGTGTTTAAAAAGGGCAATATCCATCAGTATACGGAAATTCGTGATAAATCAGAACACCTAGAATTCAATAGAGCAGTGGAGACATAAATAGAAAATATGGAAATTATTTTAGATAAAAATCTACTGTTTGGAATGGGTTTCATGCTCGCGTACAAATCTTATAGAACCGTGAATATGCCTGACAATAAATCTATAATGATATTGTATATTTGTGATTCTAGGAGAGTTGGAAGGCTGTTGAAACTACTGCACATTCAAAAAAGATATGATCCAGATCATCCAGTTTACCGTAATATTTGCAATTATCGTCTTCAATTACATTTATTTTGAATAAATGACGTGTGTTAAACGCATATCCAAAGCGTAGTCGATTTATGGTGGTTATATTTACGTAGAGCTTTAAATCTTTTAAACCAGTGGAATAACTGGTTGTAACGTAGTATATCTGCTACGGTTTGTAAAGCAGTAAAGATTTCATTGATCTTTTCATGTCAATAGCTTATTTTTAAATCTTAATGGCATCTGATACACACAAAAAATATGACAATAAAGTGCCGGATGATACACTGATTTTAGCTAAGTATTTATCACCTTTGAGCCCAATATGTGCCATAACCCAAATAAATTTTATATTGAAGCCAGAGTCTGCTAGAATCATTAAGAGCGTAGGCGCAAATTTTCGGGCCAATGCTTTTTAAATGCATTAATTTTTTTCGAATCCTGAGAAAACTAACTAATATTTTAAAAAAATTTAAACGCAGATTGAAGGATTTCGACCGACGGTCGAAAGTCCCTTAGAATAAACAAAATGTTTTTTGAACTAGATATTTGAAATTAAAAATCACATTACATTTTCTCTCTTTTTCACTCCTGTAACTTATAAAAATAAACATTATAGAAGTTTTGCAGGGACTTTCGGCCCTCAGTAACAATCTATTATTTCATTTTGCGTTTAAATTTTTAAAAAATACTAATAAGTTTTCTCAGGATTCGAAAAAAAAAGAATGCATTTAAAAGCATTGGCCCGAAATTATGCGCCTAAGCTCTATTCTTTATTAAAAAGTCCAGGCTGTGAGGCCGCTCCCGTTGGGAAAATGTTTCTGATTCAGTTTCTTTGCGGATTACGGTTCAAAAATGTCCCCTTTAAACAAATCTAAAGGGTGCCGGGCAAAATTTTTAGGCAGAAATTGTTTTAAACAATTTTTTTAAACAAATTCCAAAAATATTTTTTTTTAATCTGGAAAACGTTTTTTTAGGTTTTTTGGGTCATTTTTAAACAAAAAAGGTCTCTTGTCATTTTTCTCCAAAGTTGATAGTTTTCGAGTTATAAGCGATTTAAAGTCTGAAAAACGCGAAAATACGCATTTTTGAGGCTTGAAAACACATATGTAAATTATTATTTTTGAGGTTACCAACTGTCTAAATTGAAGTTTAAACATTCAACTTCAAGATTGTGAAGAGTAATCGGGGCTTATTTTAATTTAGACCGTTGTTTTTTAATTGTTAAATATGCGCGTACACTCGATTTTTCAGCCGCCGTGGCGCGGCGCGTTAGAGTGCGCTTCTATCGTACTTATGCATAGTTTACATATACACTTACGCAAAAAAACCCGAACAAATCCTTGAAGTTTATTAACATAGTTTTTTCCATAATTTATTTATGTAGGTATTAATTATTGTCATTGGGCTAATTAAATAAATCAATCATCGCAATGTAATAACCGTATACAGTTTTTTTTTCTTCCAAATTTGAACAATATAATTATTATTTATTGAGTATATATTTATTTATATCAATTGTAAATAATATTTTTAAATTATTATTTAAATAATACAATGCAGTAAATATTAATACTAGTAATTTAATTTTAAATTGCGCGGTGTTTAAAAACAATATACTATCGCAAAAATGCAAGTTTTTACCTGTTTAACAATCGCGCGCTCATACTTGATTTGTTATTACTTAAACGATCATTAGGAAGACTATTGTTTAATGCCCATTAAAAGGGTATTATATTATTAATGTGTTATTAAAAAAATTGTGAATGGATTTAAAATGTCTTTTTCCGTACCTCTTCTCAAATGAAAACTTACCGAAGAAAATTTAGTGCAAAAACCTAAAGTAGATTTTTACATAACACTACAAAATGCTGCTCTTCGACGAAAAGATAGTGACTGAAAAATTTAATTTAATCTAGCCAATATACCTTGTACCTCTGACGCACTTTACCAACATTTGTTAAGAGCTTTCGCTAAAACATATATTTGGCGAAATGCCATATATTCCCGCTATCAAACTCTCGATTTTACACAATATGGATATAATATGTCTAATAGTGGTGGGTTGAGAAACCGTGCAAATGCAAAAAGACTTGCAAAACTAATGCTTGCAACTGCAAGAAAAATCATGTCAACTGTGTACCATTATGTGGATGTGATTTAGATTTTTGTGAAAACAAAGATACTTTTACTGAGTGATATTAGTGTGTTATCTAACAATCTTTTGTACAATTATTTTATGTAACTATTATTAGACTTTAGACGAAATTTATATTATAACTCAATTGATATAAATAAATATATACTCAATAAATAATAATTATTTATAAGTATATGTAAACTATGCATAAGTACGATAGAGGCGCACGGTAGCGCGCGGCGCCGCGGCGGCTGAAAAATCGAGTGTACGCGCATACTTAACAATTAAAAAACAACGGTCTATATTAAAATAAGCCCCGATTACTCTTCATAATCTTGAAGTTGAATGTTTAAACTTTGATTTAGACACTTAGTAACCTCAAAAATAATAATTTACATATGTGTTTTCAAGCCTCAAAAATGCGTATTTTCGCGTTTTTCAGACTTTAAATCGCTTATAACTTCGAAACTATCAACTTTAGAGAAAAATGACAGGAGACTTTTTTTGTTTAAAATGGCCCAAAAAACATAAAAAAAACGTTTTCCAGATTAAATAAATTATTTTTGGACTTTGTTTATAAAAAATTGTTTTAAACAATTTCTGCCCAAAAATTTCGCCCGGCACCCTTCAGATTTGTTTTAAAGGGGACATTTTTGAACCGGAATCCGCGAAGAAACCGTATGAGAAACATTTTCCCAACGGGAGCGGCCTCACAGCCTGGACTAAAAACTATATAAGGATTACTAAATACATATTTTGGATAAAAAAAGTATTTTTTATGTTCTGTAAAACTGAAAGTCAGTCTGAAAAAATTACTGGTATTTAACTGGCCAATAATCAAAAGTAAGTGGCCAATATACGAATATTTTACACCACCAAAATGTTTAAAATTACAAATAAAAATTGACTTAAATGGCAAAACTATTTTTTAAAATCCTTTGGTAGT